TGTGTTCACGTTTGGTTGTGGATATTAGAACTGTTTTGACAGAACCACAACAGGAAGCGATTTAGATGCGGGGTTCACGTTTTGGGTGTTTTTCTGGCTTGACGTCTGCGTCGGCTGGACTGCAGTAATGCGATGACTGGAAATAAAGCAAAACATACGACAGCGGCGTTTTCATAATGATGGAGTTGAGATGCATGCGAGAAGTAAGATCCGGTTTTATAGCAGAAAGGCCAGCCAGCTGCCAGCCAGCTGCCAGTAACGCGACTATCCAAGCAACCCAATTTCTTATGACACAAAATAGGTAAAATGTCAAGTACAGCTGTGACCGAAAACCGCAGTTTACTAGAAAGCTTGTTTCGAGGTAGATTCTCATACAAGGATTTCGAGTTCAAGCATGGGTGTTACTTGTACGAAGGTTCGATTTAAAGGTCACCCGTTTTCCAGCGTTTGGCCGAGATAATGACGCTATCATGATCGTTTTTAAGTCGTTAACTGCTATAAGTCTTACAACGTTTACTTTTTTTAGAAAGTCAACATATCTAATTTATAGAGACTGACACTGCTGTTTCTTATACTGAAAAATTTTATTTTAAGTCCATCTGCATACATTTTATCCTAATAGAAAGCAATGAAAATAAGGTGAACATCCACCTTAGTGAACTATTCCTTAAATTCTGAAATGGCTTTTCGATTAGGAAATATTATCGCATAGGGTTGTTATAATAATTATCCTGCAACTTAATCCAATAATACCACATACACCTGTCAAAAACAATGAATATTTTATAGTATGCCTTTTACTATTGATTTTTGATACCCCTTTACACTAACTTACAATTTATAAAGAACTTGTGAGGAAATATCCAGAGCCCTTTCGATATTAAGCAACATATATTAGCTTCTTAATGGGCTTGGAAATAAATGATAACCTTTTAATGCAAAGGAAGTAGATTGTAAAATGTAAATTCTAACCGAAAATGCAACGGCAACTTAAACCAACAAAGTATTTTGGAATCGAAAGACGAGTTTAACGCCCAAATGTAAACTTTATTTTAGCATAAATCTGAGGCAGAAGTGATTTACTAGAATGCGTATGATCATATTTATAAGCATGTTTTTGTGAAATATATTTCAATATATAAAGAGCATCAGACCATTGACAGTTCTTTTATTATGAGTAAAAAGGCATTTTTGTGAGTTTCTGCTAGTTGGCAAAAAGAAAGTGATCCAAAAGTACATATCTCGGCTTGTTTGAATTATTATGGAATTTTCCTGAACGATATAAACCCACTCAAGTAATACTTCTTGTTCGACAAAAAAATATTTCCGATTTTGGGTTAAAAGTTTCAGCAATCGCTCTCTGACTGCATTTTCTTCCAAATTTAAGTGAGTTTCAAGGGAAGATTTCAGAGAAAATAGACATTCAAATAAGTAGACAGCCTCAATCACACGCGTTTCAATACAATAGGTGGAGTAGACAGTTCGATATACTTAATATATATTATGACATAATATGCGCAAATATTCGAGGTACAGATATAATACTGCTTTCATTAACCCCTGAAGGGGAAGAAGATGGGGCGTCAAGTGTGTCTTACCACTAGCCGTGTGGTATAGCCGTACCTGATGCACTCGCGAGAATGTTTTCAAAACGTCAGCCTTAATAAAACTTTGTCTCAGTAATTGTCCCGTCTTCTTCTTCCTCTTCCGGGGATGATGAAAGCAATATTATGGTATAAATATTCTGGTGAATACACGGACCTATTGATAGACAATTCCAGAAAAAAACCTCAAGAGCTTGCGTAATGGTATCTGAAACAATATCAATCTCCCACTTTTCGACTTAACTTACCAAAACCTGCGCCAGTAGAACTTTTAGCTACTGCTAGATCCGATAATATATGCACATGTTATGTTTACCATCTCCAAGTAACGCTTTGGAATCCTCTATACCCCTGCTTGACGCAACAAAAGCTATGACACTTCTTCCCCTTTTGGACACCCTTTTCACGCGTCTTAACCTATTACCTTCGGCAACCATGGGAGATAGATTTGCTCGCATACTGTGTGGCTGAACGTGATCGTCTATCGTCGACATGACAAGAGACCGTAGTGTAAACGCCTGAATTAGGATGAGAAATCGATTGTGCAATGGCCATACAACTGTGGTGTCACTTACGGAGAACGACAGTGACCCTATCATCGCCAGTAAAAATACCCACGGGCAACATGACTGCCATAATCGTTTAGTTCGCTCAAATAGTGCGCACTTTTGCCCAAGTAACAGATCACGTTTCTACCAAATGTATTAGTCTAGATAACATTTGTCAAAAGTTGCCCCCACATAGTAAAAACCCACTTACTGCCACCGAGAACGATTTACAAACATTCTGCAGAGCAAGACGCGTGCACTGATTGCTAAACACGCTGGACGAGCCATAAACATGTCTTCGAAGATTGGAAGGTGCGATCATTGTTGGTAATTTTCAGAAACCTTGCATGCTGCACTATTCTGCCGCAGGTTAAATACGAAAAATTTAGAAGACACTCATGTACGCACAGTGTAACTATATGTAAGTCACGCTACAAGTGCCCTAATTCCTTTAGCCGCGAGACATTCACTTCCATTAAATTTTTACATTAAAATTCGAACAGCACCTTTTACGGCCCAATATCTCGACAGTACGTTTAATGTACGAGGCTGAATCTATCCTACCACCTTTGAGTGGTCAGACATTT